CAAAGGATAATACAACATGTCTCTGGAGTCTCACATAGCTACACATATTTACATATACATCACATATAAGTTAGAAATTAGTCGGTCCGAAGCAATCGCACCGCGTACATAATTGCTTAATTGATTGATTATCATTATTAGTGGTCGGCCAAGACGAGTGTCGCTTTGACATCCAATGGTCGTGTAATTACTGAATGCTGGCGATCTGCATAATTATAATTACTCCGGTGTTGACCAATAGGAGAGCGTCAAACACTCACTGTAAGCATTTGAAAACTTTAATGTAGTGATTGCGTTATATTTAAAAAAAAGTTGTAAAAAAAAACATTTAATTTTTTAAGTTAGTGGAAAGTGATTTACTTTAGTCATCGAAAGCTACAAATAGTCTTTCAACATTTGTGTGTAAATATTATGTACATGATTCAAAGTCCTACCTTAGATGAACTATAGAAGTACGCTTGTGTTTGCCTCACAGACTGGCCGCATATTCATTAGTATAATTGTTCAGTCAGTTTGCGTGTTGAATCCATTATCTTAATTCATACCTGGCCAGACTAAAGTTCCCCTTGATTTTGGAGCACTTGTCTCCAATGGAGAATTCTGTTTTACATATTCAAAACTCGATTTAAAAGTAAAATTGAAATTTAGACATCGATAGACAAGTATAAACTGACTAAGGTCTAAATACAATTTGTCTGTAGATTAAGCGAGTAGTAAACATTTAATTAAAAGACTTTTAACGGTTTAAAACGCGAAATATATTAGGTAACTTATTTACAATTTATGTAAACTAAGAGTTTCAACAGACACCCCTTGATCACAGCTGTTGTAAAGCATTTGAAATGTTGGGCTGTAATTTGAATAAATAATAAAAAAGATAACTAATGTATATTTCATTAAAACCGTTAAAAGTGTATTTTTAAGACTAACTTGATTTTGGTTATTTATTTATCTAGTCTCTAAAACTTTAAATGAAGTAATTTTATTTTTTTTCATAAACTGTAATAATATGGGCCTACTCGTTTTATTTAGTAACATTTAGCGTATTCCACGTGTTACATGTATTAGTAAAAGATGAACTTCCAATTTATTCTTAAGTTTACATTCCCTTCAGTACAGTTACATATGTATGCCTACCTTAGTTCTCTAAGTTGTAACATTTAAAAAGCAAGTTAATGACGGTATTATGTAGTTGTCTTATTAGAATGAAGTAAGTTGAGCATGGCATATAAATTAGTCTGCCCCGTATTTGACTAATGGCATGCACTGTTACAGAAATAACACTTTGATTTGTTACTTCAACTTAAAGAGTTTTACATGATACGATACGATATTTTACGGTCCAGCAGCTTTATAATTTTTACTATGTACTTGTAAAGAACATGTACCTTCAACTTGAATCTGACTTTCTAAATTAGAATCTACAATGTTGTTTCTTTGCTTTGTATATTTTTTTAAAATTCAAAATCGAAAAATTGACGACTCAGGTAGGACTTGAAACGACGTTCCGTGCTTTTATTGACTCGGTAGCTCAATTGGTTAGAACAACAATAGCAAGGAACACTGTGGATGCCTTTTATCATTTTACAATCGATTTTTAGTTTATATAGTGCTATCATGTGCAATAATTTGTCAAGAAATATTAAAGTTTTCAAATATTTCTTTCAATTGCTTGATTCGTTTCGATTCAGAAATTTTATTTAACTTAATGCTGATTCTACGATAAGTAGATAAATTAATTTAAACAAATAAAACAAACCATACACATAGAGTAACAATGGTGCAATTTTGTTGCCATTACCTATATGGTTTTATAGAAATGTAGAGATATTTCTGTATATATATAAATATATTTATAGTTTAGATGTTGTATGCAATATCCATCCATTGAAAGATATGCTTGTCTCTCCTCCTCTACAAAAATACCATATTGGCGCACGTAACGTATGTCGACCTATAATACGATGGAGTACTCCTAAGTAAAATTCTCTCTATCGAAGTTGTTAATAATAAAGGTTATGTCGTATCCAGATCGTATGGTATAAATTGAACATCAATGCGTTACTAACTCAAAGGTTTGAGATTACATTTATTGGGTGGTCGTGGTTTAATGTATTTTATTTTTACTCTCACTTGCTTGTTAGGTCAAGGATCGGAAGTAGTGCTCTGGTTACTATAATGTACAGATAAGAATATTTTTAGATAACGAAATGGATTTATGATTTGAGATTATCTAAGCATTAGATACAACCCGTCTTCACATAAAACAGTATAATATTTATAGGTTGTTTGAAAAAAAGTGACACAAACGGGAATCAAGTGTAATGTTTTTTTTAAATATTTATTCTTATGAAAAAAACACATTACAATATTACTATTAAATTGTTTACTTTCGACTAAAGCACGACACGCCTTGTTCTTCTTCTTCCTAATTATCTTTGTTTTGTTTCAATATTCTTTTTATCTTCTAAATAAGCCTTATGAATTTCACTGAAGTTAAAGCTTAGAATCTTCGTAAAGTAATTTTTTTACGACACACTGCTTCTCTAACCAATTGAACTACCGTGTCCATCCGTGACCATCCGTGACCATCGTCAAATTTTGTCAAACCACCAACATTGATACATGCACCTCTGCTAATGTAATTTCAACTTATTAAGGGTGAAATTATATTAAATATATTTTCAATTTACGAGTGTATAATGCTATCTTGTACAATAACATGTGAAAAATATTAAAGTTTTCAGAAGTGAATGTTTTTAAAGAGATGTAATAAATTTTTAGGCATATATTCAGCATAGGTTTAGTACAGAAATCGTGGGTTCAAATGGAGTATATCAGCTATACTAATATATAAAGCTGAACAGTATGTTTGTTTGTTTCAACGCGCTAATTTCAGGAAGTACGAGTTCGAATTGAAAACAATTGTCTGATAGAGGATTTATCGAGGAAGGCTATAAAACATTGCGATGTGACTGATAGTAGCGAAGATACAGCAGAAAATGTGAACAAAACTGGGGAAATTTTCATCTCTGTAGATTTCAGATACGTACGGTGCGAAAACGGTTCAAGACACCCAAAAATATGTATGGAACAATGATGTCTCATTAAGTGATCTAAAAAAATGTCCGCGACATTTAGTATGTCTATCTTTTAAGATTAACTTACAAGAATGACAGTCACCTGAATGACGGGTCGGGAGCGACGCGACGCGACCGATGTAATGGCCAGCTTATATTTGTAAAGATGTAGAGGTTTGCAAAAACAAATTTGGATGTACAAAATAACTATTCTACGCGGAGGAAGTCGCAGACACAGCCAGTCTTAAATATATACACACAACGCCGATCAGAATGTGCATCATATTTTATCTCTAGACATCCTGCAAAGCAAGCCAACCTGTTATACCATTTAGCTTAAGAACTTAAAAGCCTCGATCATAAAATAGGTTAAATGATAGAAATATCCAGTTTGTACACATTTATTACATTAATTCTCTATAAAATATCACAGTTTTAAATACAATTATTTACAAGCACTACTTGGAACTATATATAAAGTCTTCCCAACACACGATACATTAGTTTTTTTAGTGACAGTTCCTACAAAACAATTGCACCAGACAAATATAATAGCTCGTATAGTCTTGCTTCGAATAATAAACCGTAATAGGATTCGTTGAAATATCTAAAATATACGTACTACAGGAGAAAATAACTCTGCCTAGTAGACAAGTACCTAGTATTTGTACTTTGTAGTGTAAGCAAGTTTATACACAGTGAATAAGAGACCGTGTGTTCGTGGTTACTCAATGAATTAAAACTCGCATTGTGTTAATACATTTTAGCAGTGGGAAAAGTAATCATATTAATATTTAAATATAATTAATTGAAAACCGGTTGTATATGTAATTTTAACTATATGAATTCAACAGAAAAGACATTATAATTTATGTATCATAAATAATGTACAGTTACGAAAGAAGTAAACCAGATATTATGTCTGCGCAAGACAGTCTTTTTTGAGGCAGTCAACGTCAGTCTTGACTGTCTTGTGAAAATCTGTTACTAAACGTTCTGTACCGTGTATTCGGAGACCTTTACAAAAAATGTAAACGATTGGCATCAGCTCATCGATCAGTCTTTAAACAAATTGCTAATTTCAAAATGGTCATCGAAAACTTTTAGGCAGTGTTAATAGCTAAATGCGTATTTCGTTGTCGACTTTGGCCGTTTCATTATTACTAAATGAAACTATAAAAAAATTAATTAGAAAAGGAGACACATAAAAATATATAACAATAAATTATTATTACATGAAAACACAATTAACGTTAAGAGTTAATGATAATTGAGGCCGCTAGAGGCAAAGTAACCTAACCTAACCTAACTGCAATTTTATGACTTAACTTATGTATTTTTATAGTCCAAAAATGTAATCAACATAATTCTTACACAAATAATAGGACAAATTCATTTTCGCCTAAGTTAATTACGCATTTTTTCCCTCGTTATTAATTTGTTTTATTAGGCCACTCTGCTTCTAGCAGCCTCAATTGGTACAACGCACTTCAAGAGAACTTGTAACGCTAAAACTGAGTTTAAGAAGTTACACATTAAACTCTTCTTTCTTGATTATCATCAATTTTCTAAGAGTTTCTGCTAAGCGATAGAAAACAGTAATTTATTGAAGGCAGAAAATTATGTCTTTAATTACTATTAAACATCTATTTTCACAAAAGCAATACAGAATGGAGTTCCATAACAGTAAAAAAGCGGTACAAAACTAATTAAGTGTTACATATTATGAAAAACTGCATTGCATACTTTCTTCACATTTAAAATTAACAAATTTACGAAATTTGATAACTCAAAAGTTCAAAACGACCTATCCTAAATTTACTAAGACGAATTATAAAACTTATTTCGTTTTCAAAATTAAGCTCCTTTTGCTTTCGGAATATACCCCCGAAAAAATTTCTGAAATGCAACAGTAACAGTCTATTTGACAATAGTTAGGCATATTTTATCTCGATAGCTTTCCACGCTGTGAGGTGGCAGGGTCACAGCTACGTCGACCTTTGAAGGGGATGGTGATGACGTCACCAACTCGGCCAGCTGGGATGAACACTCGCTGGAGCGTGACGTCATCGTCCTTGCTAGTTAGAAAGAGAAATTTGTAAATCACTAAGAAATTTTGGACACGCAAAATATAAAATTTACTCTTTTACATACAAAACAAGAAAATATAACCCTTGTGGGGCCCGGGGTGAACACTTTTCTGTCCTTTTCACTCTCGAGACTTCTGAGCTCTACCTGACCGAATTGTTTCTCCGAGGGTTTGAATTCAAGACCTCTCTCACTACTCCATGCTAAACACTTAACTTTTGCGACTACGTTTTGAGATATGTCTCTATTTTTAAAATTTCTACAAAATGGCGCCTATAGATAAGGACGCCACGAATGCATTTGTATTTTACGAGAGTGATAAAAAATTACTTACAATTAGTGTAGCAACTAGACGCCGATTCCCCAGATGGGCTATAAGGCTTCATCTCGTAGTGATTGCTGCTGGAGTGGTGAGTTCGATTACCGAACGGTGATGAGTAACTATAGACAATGTAAATTATAAAGCTTCTAGCTTTAAAGTAGAATATTGAACGAATGCAGTACGTAATATACATAATCGAAATAGGTCGATAGTGCATCTTGTTTAAATGTTATATGACACTGGTATTTCACCTACCATCTAGTAACCCTCGTGATTGTCTTTAAATTGATCAATGGTACGAAGAAGTTTACAGTCGGTAACAAACCTGTCCCTCATTTGCGGCAAGTCGTATTGGTTATCGGGCCTCTGCATCCAATATTCGTTGCAGGTCCTCGTCAAGTCTGGTCCAGTGCTGCCTTTGTCCCGAGAGTACGTTTTGGGTAAACCTGAATGGAGTTCTAGAAGTTAACGTTTTGGAAGAAACGTGACTACGTGCATAGGTAAGTGATTTGCATGTTAATACGAAGAAGGGAACCCTTTTTGTTGAATTCGTCTCGGGTTCAAGTCTCGACTGTAACTCTAATCTATGCAAAGTTATTTGGCCAAAAACGATCTTAGACTTACCAGTTCTAGCAGCAGTGTACCCTGGTCTACTCTTATACTTGCACCACACGTAAAGAATGACAGCACCAGCTGCTAACATGGCAACCGTTATACCAATGCCCACGTACATCGTCAGGTTGTTTTTATATAGATCTACGATGAGAATAAAATAACGTATAAATTAATGTTGACCGCCCAAAGAGTAATTTAATCTATTACGCCAAAGATCATGACCATTCTATACGTCAACAAATTGTTAATAAATAAAAATATATTTTTTGTGGACGGAATTTTAAAATTTAGCAATTAGTAAATAGAATTGATTGATACAGACATCAAGAAACAGGCAAACATTAAATTATAGGTCTGCGTGGTTCCGTTGATAGTCATGAAATATATAATGTAAGTACGAAAATTTCGTTACACAGTACCTAATTATAAAATTTACAACAAACAGCGTGAAGTACTATACACAATTATATTATACACATAATACTTTTAACTTAACTAAATTGATATTTATAGTCAAAATGCTGTTTCTAAGTTTCGTTAGATACATAGAAAGTAAATAGGATCAAACAATTTCCATTTACTATTGAATATTTCCCCATAAAAAGCACAAAACAAAAGCAAAAAGTTTTCCTTATAGGGAAACCAATAAATAACTACGTCCTGTAATTTAATAAGCGCAGTGTTAATAGCGTTCCACTTTTTTACAAAACACCTAATTGCTTATTATACCGGGGAGTGAGGCAAAAAATAATGCTTTTCTATTTTCCCATAGAACTAAGAATGCAGTTCACGGCTAGTTGCACATTCAATGCTGATCTAATTTATATGATAATTCTTAGGCGAATTTAATTTTCAAACAATTACTCGCGGTAACTAATATGTCTTTATATAACTCAAAATAGTGCTTTTCTGTCAAATATATTAGCATTTTACAAGTGTGTATATATTATACAATGTTAGTCTAAATATGTAATCAAAAATTTTAATATAGTTACATCAATCAGTTTGAGATCAGACAATATAAAAAAAATCTATTGGTTATCATCACTTTCGGTTTAATGACATTTATAATAAGAATCACTTTTATGAGAAACTTATTAAAATAGTATATACATTATTACTACTCATCACGCGGGTAGTTTATAATAAAATCTTAATAAAACTATAAATAACTGACGCAATAACATCGTGTCGGTAAGAAACGAGTTTAAACATAAATTTATCAGTTTTTTATGTTACTTACGCATATTCGACGAACATAGGCCGTCAACACAAGCGGCGTGCTGAAGAGTGGAACCCGTGCAGGTCCCCACGCATTGTCTACGTCTCACTCTAACACAGTCCTCGGCACATGATGACCAGGCGCTCCAAGGGTACCAGGACCCTACGAGAGATAAAGCTTACTTCAATTCGTTCAGCTTTTGGCGCTGGGTTTCAAACCCCGTATATTACAACATTTTCAAAGATATATCTCTTTTACTATTCGTAAATAAACGATAAATAATATCTAAACTATTTAAAATAACTTAAACGTGAACTAACTAGCTACTTAGCCGTGTACACTAACTACAACAGTTGAATTTTTAAGTATCGTCTAGTTTACGCGAGTCAATTTCATTTAAATATAACGATTCGAAGTTTTAAAACGCGAAATGTAATAGTTATACTTATAAACTCTAAATGCTTGCATTTAAAGTGTCACAATTAAAGGTCAATTTTTGGTTTGCTACATTATATGTATAGCAAACGGTTCGGCGTAATAGTAAGTAAAATTAGTTATAACATGGTCTAACGTAACGAATTAAATAAATACCCGTATTTGGTCTAAATAAATTTAACTTACCATTTTGACACCTCAAACAGTCGTCATCGCTCTGAGAAGTGGGTCCCCTACAGGGTGCTCCGCCATTCACTGGAGCTGGCTCCGAACACGTCCTCGTTCGTCGCCTGCCACTGCTCTGGGCGCCACATCGGCACGGGATCCAGGGAGACCAATCTGACCAGCCCCCGTTCACTAATAGATACCATATAGTTAGGATAGATATAAATGGGCATTTATTTAGAAAAAAAAATATTCGATGCGACTAGACTAGAGTTGTGCGAGAGGTTTATCAATAGGTTGAAAAAAATCGACGATGACTTGTAGGACTCTGTAGCTCAATTGGTTAGAGCAACAACACGGAACGGTAGATGCCGGTTCATGTTCCGCCCGTGTCGTATTTTATCTATAATCGATTTTTAAATTGAGACGTGACTAATTTTCTTAATGTACATCGCGTTTAATCCGCCTTTTGTCCACCATCTTTTAAAAGGCTTTACTGTGTTATGCTATGTATAAACAAAAATGTATGTAAAAAATAGTCTTTACTTCATATGAAAAATTGGGTCAAGATCATCATGCAACGAGCACGGTATTGCAGGTTCGATTCACGCTTAAGTTGATTTCTTAAATCTAAAATACGTTGTTAAAAAAAATCAATGTTGTTTTCGTATCTTTTATCATTACAGACATTGAACTACTGCAAAACTATTTATTTAACGAGACCGCCTCCGAGCTAAGCGCGAGAGGAACTGGGTTCGAATCCCGGGGAAACAATAGATTGTTCCGATCGGGCAGGGTTATCTGATCAACTGCTTACCTGTATATAAAACCTATCAGTGAAACGGACACAGAAATGTGTTCGCCCTCTGCCTCATTGGATTTCACTTTTTTATTTATCTAACGATAGTTCATTATATTGCGAAATTGTGGGATTTGGATATTCATGAAGCCCGCCAATATTTCCCATGATCCATTATGTAACCAATATGAAACAATAGCGTGCTTATTAAAAACTATCCGAGGCTTGCACACTATGACAAAGGGTAGACAATGGAGTATAGACTAGTATCGGTGTTGTTGAGAACTTTCAACAGATAGACAAAACAGAAATCTTTGTATATATCTATTTCATACCTACAGTGTCTTAAAGCAACAGGGATAAAGGTCTTTCTATATTTACCACCAAAACATATAAAACTCTATAACCTCGAGATTAAATGTGAAGATAGTGAAATCCGGTTACTCCTCCGGGGGCATGGGACAAACGCATTTCTATATCCGTTTTACTGGTCGGTTTTCCCTGATCGACCGAAACAATTTATTATTTTCTCGCAATTCGAACCCAGGACCGCTCGCGCTAGGCAACTTTTAACCATTTAGGTACAAAGGCGGTCTGTAAAGACATTTAACTTAATATTTGGAATGTGGCCAACACACGTTATGTGAACTCAATAGTTTCTAGTATGATCCTAAATTTTATATCCTTATATTCCGTATAATGTTTGTTTATTAATTACAATTAATATAGGGCCACGATTGAGAATAATGTTAAATATGACTCACCGTAAACAGACAAAATTGCAGTGTCTGATTCTCTTTTTCCGGCGATATTTTCTGCTACGCAAGTGTAGTTCGCCATATCCTGGAGGAGAAATAATAATTATAAAAGATAAATTTGATCGCGATATGAAAACTAATAAATTTGAGACCTTATATTTTAATTTTATTTAAAAAGTTGACGCTGTTTTTAGCATACGTCGATCACGAAAGTTCTTGGTTGAATGCCGCGGAAACGGATATTTGTTCCAGGCGGGGCACATCATATGTAATATTTAATTATGAAAAAAAAAAAAAAAAAAAGGGGGGGCCGCCCCCCCCCCCCAAAAAAAAAAAAAAAAACCCCCCTTTTTTTTTTTTTTAAAAAAAAAATTGGGTTTTTTTCCCAACAAAGAATTAGAAAAAGCTAAAATAGAATACATTATATTTTTATCATAAAATGGCACATAGTGAGATTATAGAAATTGAAAGCCTGGTTCGATTCAAGAGAATAATACAGCAGGCAGGACATGAACCCGCATTCACAGCTTTCCGTGCGCTGCTCTAATCTATTGAGTTAGTGTTCTCACTCAATTAGTTAGAGCGGCAGTACGGAACGCTATATGCCGGTTCAAGTCCCGCCTGAGTCGTCAGTTTGAACAATCTAAATAGATTTTTATTTAGGTATATAAAACGACCAATGATAATAACTCTTTTGTGACGGCATACAGGTTAGAGTCCCACCTGTAACATTAATTTAAGTTAAAATAAAAATCTTAAATACAGTTAAAATATAGTATACCTACGTACCTGCAATTTAACCTTTGGCAGCACCAACATTTCATCGGTTGCCTCAATTGGTACCCCATTCCTTAACCATTTTATGGCCGCGGGGGGTGCTGCTGGTGGTGGGCTGCAACGGAAGGTAGCCTGCCTTCCGGCCTCCAGGGTTAGAGATTGAGGATACTGCGCGAATTGCTTTTTTATATCTGTTGAAAAAGATTCGTATTTACTTTTCGCGATCCAAAATGTGAAACTTAGTATTTCGTATTAGCGTTATAATGTTTGATTTTATAAAATAGTATTGATATATAATCACTTTAAAACCAAATTCTAATAATCGTTTATTGAGAAAATAAGAAATTTACAATAATTAACTCATTTTACGAAAATAATACATACAAGAATTATAAATTTAGTAATGTACTAAATTCAGATAAAAGTTCAGTTTAGTTGCCTCTGAAAAGGAGTTCCACTTAGCCACGTTGGGACTAATTTCACAACACTGATATTCTATGGCCCCTTACAAGCCGAGCTAACACAAGCGATACAGTTCGACATTCCTTCTATTAGGTATAACTTATCGCAATACATGACGGATTAAAACGAGACCTTTTAGTTTTTTAAATTTAAGCCAATAATAATCGATAGGGCATCATCACAATGAACATCCATTACGCCAAAGTGCTCGACTTAACGAGCGGAAATCATGTTTCCTTCATTTAATGGTTCCGTTCTGTTCACCCCCCAGAGGGGAGACTAAAAAAAGTATCGCCTTGGATTGTCGAAAAAATTTAGAAGTTCAACGCTTAAGTGCTTTTATTTGTAATTACGCGGCATCCTCGGGGTTTTTTATTGCTGCCATTTAATTTTATTGTTTTTCGAAAACAGCTCAGCCGTTTGGACACGTATAAACAATCCACATACAAACTTACACTATGCTGATATAATGCATGTAGTATAGGCCTTTAATGACTATTCGGAGCCAAGGTCAAATCTCGCTCTCACCTCTCTCTGGTACCAAAAATTCGGCTCAAATATCGAACCTGGACCCTAAGAAACCCTTTGATCAACGAGATAGTAATTTAAGTCAAAATAAATATTGTAACTATGTACATTATCACAAAATGTACTTTTTGAGAACTTGTCGAACCGGTTGCTAAAGTCACCCCAATCGTTAAAGTTTACCGTTAAACGCATATGTTGGACACTATTGTAGTACAAGTGTCTACTTAAGCATACATACAGTTTTTAACCGACTTTTTAAAAAGGGTATGGTTTTACTAAGTTTGTTTTGTTCAAATATGTATCTTTTACAGAAACAATATAACCTGTTTTTAAATAAACATCAAATAATTAGTTTAAAAGTTTTCTGTATTAAAAAAAACAATAACATCGTTTATTCTTAATGGTAAACACACAACTTCGTAAATGTCTTTGTCAGTTAGTCTGTAAGAAACTACATAAATAAACATTTACTAACATAGTAAGTACATATGGTATCTAAGAATCGGATTGGTAGAACTATTTTATTATTATTTAATTATCCGAAATCAACAAACGAACAGACATAAAAAATATCTTTCATACACTTCCTATATTACTTATTAAATCATTTTAAAAGGTCAATTGTACAAACAGATGTTTTCAATTGTTTGCAAACACTTTTAACAGTTTAAAACGCAAAATATTTTTTACGACCCGATGTCCAGAATGCTTTGCAACAGCGTTTAATACATTAAAACAAATATACAATGCAAAAATAGCGCTGGTTTTTGGCTGGGGTATTTCCCGTCAAGTGCCCCCATGCCTGTCTGTCCTCCTTCATGATAAAAAAATAGTTAACTATTTTGTCACTATGAAGTAATATTTTATTCGCCTAAACGGACTATACTGACTACTTATTTATTTTTTATTCGTATTTAAGCTGTCTATCAAAACACATGTGAATATTCCCTTACGATACACTCGCAAGAAGTGCAGAGACAATTAAGCGTCAGCCATTGTCTAGAAATACCGCCCCGCGCAAGACGTCGTTGAATTATTAACGTGCAAGACCCTTCGAAGTCGCCTTGCAACTTTTTCTTGAGACTCTCGGCTCAGACGAGGTTTGAAATCTTTGGATTCAACGATCGTATATATTACACTAGCGGTGTTAGCAACTTCGATAGTTATTTTTCGCGTCAGAATTTTTTTGCAAACCAATCCACTTCATCTACATAGAGTCTTGGTGTTGCAGTATTTACAAGATAGACATATAGTGCCGCGAATTTATTTTTTAGATCATTCTTTCATATATATTTTTGGGGAGTTCTGGACCGTTTTCGCAGCGTAGGCAACGGAAACCCACAAAAATGCATAGTTTTTTTTTGTTTTATCCACATTACTCGCTGTATCTTCGCTCTTACCGGTCGCAGCGCCACGTTATTAGCACATAGCCTTCCTCGATAAATGCTCTGACCAACACAAAAATTAATTTCAATTCCGACCAGTAGTTCCTGAGATTATTAGCACGTTCCAACAAGCAATCTCTTCAGCTGTTATCTCATCTTATTTTTCCGTTAAAATGGGGTTACAATAATAATAAGCCTTAGCGTAACACTATCCCACAGCTGCCGGAATGACAATGCGTGTCAAAGATCGCTATCTCTTTGGAATCTTCAGATAGAAGCTGAAAGCGTGAAACACGATACTGTATCGATCCATTCATTAACTTACTATACTCTTAATATACTTGTCTTTGTGATCCCATTGTTTCTTTTTGCTGTTTATTATCGCGAATAAGAGATGCCCCTCTTCATATAACAAAACATAAGCTCTTCGTTATGGATACTAAGGAAAAATATTGGTTACGCATGTCTTATATAATAATATATACGTAGGTACGTATACTCAACGTTTCTCTCGAAAAATAACTACATTAAAAATAGTGATATGTACGTTGTACATGCGGCGTAATACAATTCTGTGTTCGTTTCGCTTGTCGGATTTATTTACATAAAATATTTGATTTGACGCCTGTGCTTTGGTCGACTGTAACAATTTACCTTTTACTGCCTAACACAATGCTGGGCGACGCGTTTAACCTTTGAGCTAGAGTGTCAAAAAACAATATAAAAATTCACATATACTCACAAGCAAACTCGATAAAAACAGCCTGACTGCGAATCCGGCCCTTACTGTTCCACGCGTAGCAGTCGCAACCGTACTTCCCGCCAAAATACTCGTCCAATTCGTTCCTGGTCACATTCAGTTCCGCCTCGACCACCCTCACTCCATTCTGTGGGTCCACGTGCTCGAACTGCACGGTCTTCTCTATTCTTACATCGTTGCATTTGAAGAAGACTTGCAAAGCATTCGCCGCTCTGCATATTAATGTAGCTGGCTTGGTCCGCAGCACGTAAGAATTCTTCGGTTCTAGAAGGAATATTGGTAGACCGTCCACGGTTTCGTCGTTTTCGGGGATTGGGATGTAGTCGTCTTCTTCTTCTTCTTGCTTGAAGTCGGAGAGGTATGGGTCGAAGTTGATCAGCCCGTCCGGGTGGATGTACTCCGGGCGGGTTTCCTTCTCTGTTGTTTGTTCCGTACCTGGGGGGAGGGCATGAGGGTGTATATTGAACGAAATAATATTTGTATTATATATATATTTAATTCGCTGTACATCTGTTACAAAGGCGATGTTTTCAACGTAAAGCATAGGAAACGTTGTGTTATTACGTCTGACAAGAAAGTATTACTATTTGTATAGAAAACAAAAAAAAAATGAAAAATTATATAAAATGAATATAATACTTTCTGTATGAAATTTGGTAATATTCCGCTGTTGGGCGTTACAATTTTTTTATAATTGACAAAAAATAACGCATAGAAATCTCGCCTAATGGAAAACACGTACCATTTGACTACTCCATACTAAGATAAATATAAGTTTTTGGAGCTAAACTAAACAACGATAAAAATCCAATATCTGATTGAACAATTTATATATGTGTTCCTTACTTGTAATCAAAAACTAACAGTGAGACAAGAAAATTTTTAGCAAACATCTTTCACAATTAATTTAAAACTGTTTTGTAATTATTGACAAATAAGGGCCATACCCCAACTGAATACTCTAAGTATATTCTTAATTACATTTTTGTACCTACTAGTAAATGTTTACCGTTTAAGCATTTTAATCGACATAACAACAGCTAAAAGCGCACATCAATACAAAGTTTGCAACTTCAGCGTATTTTTAACGAAATTTCGCAACTAGGGAATGGAAATAAAAGCAATATCATCAACTTTATCTCATACTTATTCATGAAGGGGTATGAAAAGTGAAGCTCACCTCCATTCGTCACTTTTCCGGTGGAAATGCAAAACACCAGAATCATCCGAAACACATATTTTTTCAGCCACATAACTATCGAGTTTCACTCCACTAATAGGATTACACTATCACATTTCACCGAAATTACGTTATCGTAATAGATTTAACGCGAAACCGGCGACACGACCATCCCCAACCGTAGCCCGAGGCGAACTAAATTTTTATTTATCGTTTTCATTCATCTCGTATCGTCAGACGTGTTCCATTTGTCTACGGTTTATCATTTTTCGTTGTAGCCTATTGGTACTTGATTCCATATCAGTATATTTAATCATTAATTAAAAATTTAAGTTTAATAACACTTAACAGTAGTGACTGTAAATATTTCGGAATATCGTCCGGGCCATGAACCACCTTCCACAGATGCAAAAGCCGTAAAGTTTGATCGCGTTTCGGTCAGTATTTCAGTCTGTGATTTACGAATATCCAAAGCCAAAACATTTTTGTTCTACATATATTTTTAGTTATATATGAAATAATAATAATGACGTACTGTATTAACCCAATCAGCAGTCACATAATAATAATTGCAAAAACTATATAATTTTTAATTAATCTCATTGGTATGTAATTATATTATTGATTCGGGACGTCGTAATTAAGGCTTTTTCGACTTAATTAACGGTTTATCGCTGTTAAAGCGGCGCTCGTCTAAGGTTTCACTTTAATTGCGGAAATTATCAATTTTCTTTCATAAGCGCTTTGGGGCTGTTGTCGCAAATAAGAAATTATCTTTATGGGATTTTAAGATAACGCGATTTAGCGATTATTGTAATATTAGTATTACTAAACGTAATCTTTTTAAGATAGGTATCATCTTATTTTTAAAGTATATATTAGGTCTTTGGAAAAAAGACCGGCTGCATTAAATTTTATTCAAACAAATGAATGAAAAAATTTCAAACTTAATAAAATTAAAATTAATATATCTATCAATGACTTATTTGTTATGTATTCGATATTTATTAATATTGGTATAACATCTAGAAGAAATACTCTTTATGAAGACCCGTAACGTCATCTTGCGATACGGTTCTGTCGTATGAAAAGCTTATAAAAGTTATTTTGAAAGTGACGGAAGCAAGCTTTCGTAGTCATTTTGTAAGTTAGTCACTAGGTAGCGCTAATCCTGCGAGTAGTCATGTCAATGCGTACTAGATGGCGCTAATAGCAACATTTAAGTTTTAACTAACTAAAGTATGTTTTTTCTACTTCCGTTAGATGGCGCAGTTAATCATGTAGGTTCACCAGGATCTTTTAGTTAGTAAGGAAAACACTAGATGTCCGTCTAAGTTTGTAACGAGTTTAAAGCAGTTTGTAAAAAATACCCTATTTTTCAAATTTGTAAGGCGTTGGTATTACAATGTTTTGAAGTTAAACTTTAAACAGACATTGAAAACATTTCGCTACAGTTAGGTCCTACGATATATAAAATAATATATAATATGTATTTTTTTTACGTTTCATTGTCAAATAAAAAAAAACATAAATATCTGCATATGCCAATTGCCTTTAGATATGGTATTTTGCGTAATGTATAGCATATTAGTCGCGTCTATTTTGCTACAATTTAGATTTCTGTATTTTGATCTGTCTAAATCCATGAATTATTCGTGCCTTAGAATTTCGGAATTTCAAATGGCGTTCGCCAACATTGAATATTGATTGCACAAAAGGCGGACCGCAGCGTATTCTCAATTCAGAAATTATTCCAAAGCGAACGATTCCTTTTGAAGCGCAAAAATATGTAACTACCGCAAATCGTCACTTACATTTGGAAAAATACTTTCCATCCCTTTCCCACTCAATCGTTCTATTGAACCCGTCTCTTTCCGATTGAGCGGAAATTTAAATTTGCCGGGTTCGCTCGCCTTTCCGCTATTTTGAATAATGAGCCCTAAAGGTTGTGCAATCAATTGGTATTTGAAAAAGAAAATCGCTGTTTCTTCGATAAATATCGCAAAGTGTACTTACATTTATTCGGAAGTGTTTTTCACAAAAATTATGAAACTGGAAAATGTTTTTCCTTGTATATTTGATTGTAATACCTGCAATACAATGTCAATTAAAGCGCAAGTTAAATAAAAACTTTTCTTTAAATAAGCCTGTAAATTTATGCACAATGGTCACAGTTTGTCATATATAAATTAAAGTTTTGTTTAGTACCATAATAAATGACAAAGATGTACGAAAAAAAATATGTTACTACTATATCTATTATTATTTGTCTATGTATAAGTAATTAAGCATGTTCCTATATATTTTGTACACATTTACAACCTTTGTTTCATAAAACTTAGTTAATAGATAAACTTTTACCAACGTAAACAAATTCTGCACGTACTTGGTATGATTTTATTTTCTTCTCAAATACAATAACAGTAACACCTGATAACTAAAAGATTTAGCGAACTTAATCCGTATTTCGTAGACAATGCTAGCCGGTACACTTCACTTAGTTGAATCCGCTCAACTCAAAAAGCTCTTTTAAGCGACACGACTCTTTTGGATACTATACGATACGGTGTGTGAAATAGTAAAGATACTCGTAATCGCTAATGTTCGCCAAAATATTCTGTTAGTGAGAGATACTCCTTATGTCTTAATGTTTGTAATGTTAAGACTCCCTTGATAGTTTTTACGTAAGATCATAAAACATTAATTAAGATCACCTATGTGCAATGTTAAAATTTTATTAATATTTTCGGCGAGTAGATTTTGAGCCCCTGGGCTTAAACTCGAAATTAAATAAAGATTTAAATCTTTATGAATCTAGGGCCTATTCCTATTTTTCTTGTAATAGGGGGAAGGGTGTCAAAAACTAGCAAAAAACGTCGTACTTAATAAATTGATGTCCTATAAGCGATAATTACGCGATAATAATTTATATTTAAATATAGGTTAATAAATGGTTATCATGATTACGAGTATATAAAATACAAACAATACAATACTTATAATTTGGTAGTAGCGTAATGACATAATACGGCTAACTATAATTATTATTGTGCATTTATAGTAAAAACATCGTACGGATATCGCATAATTAGAATCGTCGTATCGGTGTCGTGTGATGTGAAAGACAGTAACAAAATGGCAAATCGGTAGGCACGGCACGTACCTAGACGAGTGTTGCGGTCCAAATCTTCTTTCCAATTGTTCGAATCTTGGACAATCCACTCGGTTGCTAAGAGATAAACTGCTTACAGCTTTATCGCTCAATTAGGTCATTAATATGGATTTAGCGAGTGATTATTATTAGGTAGGGTTATTAGGTATTTCAATGTTTATGATATAAACAAGATTACAATACATCGGGTCGCTCTTGTTTTATTAAAATTAGATATTATGAGTCTTCTGAGGTGCTATAGTCACCGAAAGTCAAGTGCGAGAGTTAAAATAATACTTACATCTATTTTTCTGGTTCTGCACAAACTTTTTACTATTAGTAGATTTAATTTCAAAGTTTCGATAATTTACGAGTTCATTTCTTTGTTAAACAAAAATAAAAATTAGAACATAATGTAAATAATAGAAAAAATTCTTTAAAACGCGATATATATTCGTAATTTTATTTATAAAATATTTGAACTACGGACCGACGTTTCGCATACCTTGCAGCACCTTGAGGCCATGGGAAGACTTCATTCCACTTGTTTTAAACCGTTAAAAGTGTTTTATTTAAATGTGTACTATTCGCGTAAACTACGGATTTATGATTAAATTTTTTTCAAAGATACACCTGCCGTTACTGCAATCTTGTCGGCGAGTTTCATGCCAGTTCTCGTTCGTTCTACGTCCGCGTTGATATGACTAGTTGTAATTTACTGTATTTGACGTTCATAAGTTTACTTAGTTGGATTTTATTATTTACGGGTTGGCTACTCTTGTTCTCAAACAGGAAAGTCCAGTGTTGCCTTTTTTTCGACCTAAAAAGTCTAACATGCAATGGCATTTTATTAATTAAGCTGCCCACATTTCAGCCATTATCTATTAAGCTTAAAACTTATTCCATTATTGTCACTCGACCGCGCAATTCTATCAAACTTTCGCAACTGCCGCCCTTCCCACCGCACACTCGCTATTTTTATATTTTTCATCAGAGCTATCTGATTATCTGGCATCGAATAAAATAATTTCATTCTTCATAAGCCGATTCGTTTTTACGCTTCGACGCGTTTGTGTGCGCGTTTTTTATTTGTATCTGCCAAAATAATATTTAGGTAGCTAGGAATGCAGCTGTGTTCGGCGATGTGAAGTGAATTAATAAAGATCTGATTTAACATTAAGTTATATTAGGTTAAAATCATGTTTATTATTTTTACTATATTGTTTATCATTTATAATTTCTACTATTTTATATTTTTTCTGAATTTGTAAGATTGTAATTTTTATGTCAGAATGTGCTAACATTCATAAGCTTTATTCGCAATGGAAGTTGAAATATGGTAAGAAATAAAGCTTTCTAATATCTGAACATGACGCGCTGTCAACCTATTTTGACTTGAGACTGAAACCGAAATTGACTGATTCTCGACTCGGAAGTACTTTAGAAATTTTAACCATCTATTTTATATTCAGATTTTCCAAATAAAGTCCAATATGTTTCAGATAAATTATAAATTGATAAGTAAGACCAGTTGATTCTTAGCAATACATAGCCTCCATTGGACGAACAAACCCCTAATTCAGGTTTTGCAATAACTATGCATTAATATTTGCCATATCAAATTCAGGAGTCGATTAAATTAAATCGCAAGACAATCCGCGACGCAAGTGCTATCATCACAAGCCTCTATAATCTGCGAATGCTCTACCCTTTAACCAATACGTGACCACTTGTATTCGCTCCGGGGATCCACGAACGTTTGGATGAGGCACATCTACTTTTATTGCGCCTTGCTAGGTATTCATTCCTCTCTCCATTTTTCACAGCTGTCTCTTATTAGTTATGTCATTAAATTAGTGTGAAAAATAGCGACTAATAACGTGATCTCCAAAAAA